AACTGCTTCTGAAAAGAAATATGAATTTATTAGATAATGAGATTGATGATTTCAGTTGCTAAAGCCAAATAGTGGTCATATTGAAGTTTTTTTTGCGTTTCTGGTTTCACGTTATAATCTTTTTTGTTGTCATCATGTGCTTGTTATTTGGGATAGAAATGTGATTTTTCCTGATGGTTACTTATCTGTTTGATTTGCTGAATATTATACTGATTGTAATATTTTCTATTCTCAGCAACTATGACAAAGATTATTAAAGAGATGTTGCCTCCTGATGTCCGGGTTGCCCGAGATGCTCAGGATCTTTTGATTGAATGTTGTGTAGGTGAGTTGATTTTAATGTGTCTGATTTAATTTTTGAGTTTAGTTTAAAGTTCTTTAAAGTTCTGTTAATGTGATTTAAAGTGTTGGCCGTTGCTTTTGCTTCTAATAGCATCTATGCCTCTCTAGTCTCTAGAATATTAGGGGGAATAAGTAATAATCTGTATTTACATTGGAGGACGACGGTTGACTAGGAAGTTTTTTCTCTAGTTGTTTGTTAGCCCTTGGTTGTCACTTGTCACTCTTCCGATTTAGTGTTGTGGGACCCAAGACAGAGGATGTGATAAGCATTGAAGTTTAGGGCATAGTTGGGTAGACAGGTTACTATTAAAGGCATTCAAGTTCTTTTTAACTCATCTTAAGTTGTACTCCGTAGATGACTCCTGGTAACTCAAAAAGTGAGAGTTCTAATGAAACTTGATCATACTCTGTTATACTAACCTATTCCTTAATCCTTTCTTATAAGTTAACCTATTCCATAATCTTTTTGTTCATTCAAGATCTTTTGGGATGTGGTTGGCAGAAACAAAGTGTAATAATTTATTTCGTTACAGTGCTTTTATTTACCTACTTCCATTGATGTTTTTGATAAGCATATTTCCGTTAATGTTTTGGTGGGTGATGTTTGTTTGCTATTTGAACAGCATTGAAGTTTCTCCTATCTTCTTTCCTTATACTAGATTATATAATATCATCTCTTTAGCTTGAATTCATACATGTCGAATCTTCTTAATGTGGTTATTTTTCTCATTTGCATGGTGTTCTGCCTTTCATTGTTATTGTGCAGAGTTCATCAATCTTATCTCATCAGAATCAAATGAAGTTTGTAATAGAGAAGATAAACGAACAATTGCACCAGAGCATGTACTCAAGGCTTTAGAGGTACTTCTTGATCCTGCAGTTTCTCTATTATGTTCATCATCTTCATCTTGCTTCTTTTGCAATTCTCTGTCTTTTTCACCTGTAATCACCCTTAGCATGAGCTCATTTGAAGTTGATTTAAAGAAGTTCAAACCTACTTCTCATCCTAGCTCATGAAGTTGCACAATGCCAATAAGGATGATGAAATGCAAATGTTGTTAATTACTTTCATGTTTGATTTGCTAGTTTGTTTCTCCCCCAAACGTGATGTTAGGCCTTATCAATTGCAGAGATCACATTCTAGTTTCTTTTCGTCTCAAGGAACAACCTTTCATTGTGAAATCCATTTACCAGTTTTAACCTTTAAGTGTGGTACAAATACTTCTTCAATTGTATGTTGAGTGACAAGAAACCTTAATTAAAATAGTATACTTTTAGGTTATTTTAATATGTTAAGCTGTGAAAATTGTTGGATATCCTTCCGTTTCCTTGGAATTGTGAATAGCTTTTGTCTTTCAGGTTCTTGGCTTTGGGGAATATATTGAAGAAGTTTATGCTGCATATGAACAACACAAACTGGAGACTGTGGTACGTAAGGGCTCGTTTCTGTCTCCTTACATGAGTTGGAATCTATGAATGGCCTAAAATTAGGACGTTTTAAAAAATCCTTCTGCTGTTGAAAGGAAGTATCCTACCTTTCATGGATGCGTCACAAAGTGTTATATTCTTTCCTCTTCTTTTTTCCCCTCACCTTTGATCCATAAACCTCTGCACATGGCTAGAGAATTAGCCGATCGTCGTGCTAGCTGACATTTGTTTTGAATCCGATAATTTTTGCAACCATGTGAAATGGTGAAAAGATTTTCATTGACGATTGCCCTTTGCTTTGTGTTTCTTCCACAGGACACTGTGAGAGCCGGGAAGTGTAGCAATGTAGCTGAAATGACTGAAGAAGAAGCGTTGGCTGCGCAACAGAGGATGTTTGCTGAAGCACGTGCCAGGATGAATAGAGTTGTTGCAGCTCCGCCCAAACAACAAGACTCAGAAGCAGAGCAAAAATTGGATAGCTAACTTTAGGACCTTTTTTATTTCTGTAGGCAATCAGCACCTTACAGTCGTTTTAGAGGTGGTTTCTCTTCTGTCATGTACAAAAAGATCCTGGCACCTGCGCTGGCTTGCCGACTTGAGTTCAATTTGTACTCTTTTAATTATGTCCATATTTTCTGTAATTAGTGAATTTGCTTTAGAATGGCCTCTACACTCAACAAGTGCTTTTAGTATATTTATGTTAGTCAGAGTGGGAATTGCTAGTGCTCTTTATCATCAGTTGGCTCTTCACACTAATTGAACGACTCAGCCCCCACCAGGACCAATGTGATTGATTTCTTCTGGGTTTGCATCTTTATTACTTTTACCTAATAAAAATTGTAGGACGAATGATGAATGTGATGGTCGATATACACTTAATTGGTCATAGTGGCTTTACAACTCAACTTATTGCTCATGGCTACAATGCTAGGGTTCTTGTAGTTGCCTTATTGGTATTCCCTGTTTACTTTTGATCCACCTTTATTCCTGTCTTCAATTTTGCTGGCATTTGAATCCTAATCTCTTATAGTTTTCACACACACCTTTGTCTGCTGGGTCGCAACTCGCAAGTCTTTTGCCTTGCCTTGGACTCTTGGAGAGAGAAACTAAAAGAAATTAAACAGTGAAAATGATTTTCCCTTGCCTTGGACTCTTGGAGAGAGAAACTAAAAGAAATTAAACAGTGAAAATGAAAAATAAACATGCCTATGGGTGTGTTTGGTACGAAGGAAAATATTTTCCGTAAAATGTTTTCCAATTTTTCCATGTTTGGTTGGCTTAAATGTTTTGAAAAACATTTTCCTTATCAACTCATTTTCCTCCCATTGGAGGAAAATATTTTCCTTATCAAGAGAAAGGGAAAACATTTTCCAAAACTCCTTCTCAACATTACCCGCCCTCACCAACCCACCCCGTCTCTAAAAAAGTTTTCTTTTTTTTAAAAAAAAAATATTTTAATTTTTAAATTTCAGTTTTTCTGCTTACCACCCACCTATCCCCTCCCCCCCCCCCCCCCCCCCACCCCCCCCCCGAAAAAAAAAATTTACCCTTATTATTTTTTTGCAATTTTAAATTTCTTTTTTCATTTTTCTGCACCACCCGCCCCAATTCTCCCCCTACCCCTAACCCCCCCCCCCCCCAAAAAAAAAAAATTTTTTTTTACTTTTTTTTTTTGTAATTTTAAATTTCATTTTTTCATTTTTCTGCCCCCTCCCCCACCACCGCCCCGGACCCCCCCCCCCCCCCCCCCCCCCCCCCCCCCCCCCCCCCCCCCCCGAGTGCACACCCCCCCCCCCCCCTCCCCCCCCCCCCCCACCCCCCCCCGCCCCGTAAAAAAAAATATTTTTTAAATATATTTTTCAGTTTTAGTTATTTTTTATCGGTTTAAAGGTTAAAATTTTTACAAGTACCAAAGTTATGAGTTCAGAGGTTTATGTGTTTAGAAGTTTACGGTTTAGAAATTATAAAGTTTACGGGTTCGAAATTCTGCGATTTCAAAAGTTTAGCGGTTCGAAAATTTATGAAATTTGTGGATTCAGAAGGTTGTTGGTTTGAAAGTTTATGGTTTCATGTTTATTATGTCTAAATTATTTATGAATACTCTTGAGAAGTCATTTTCCTTAATTTGCGTACCAAACACCGGAAAATGGATAAGATTACTACTTGTTTTCCAAGAAAACATTTTCTTGAAAAACATTTTCCACGGAAAACATTTTCCGTTATCCCAAACACACCCTATGTTTCTGTAAAAATAGCACGGTCTAGCCAGTTTTCGGACCGGTCATTCAAAAATAGCTAGCGTTTACCAAGTCAATGAAAAATAGCCACTATTTTGCTGCAACAGAGACCGGTCCAGCATAATATACTGGAGTTCGTTTCACCTGTGTATGAACTTCCAGCATATTATGCTGGAACTCCTCACACGGAAAGTTTGAGCATAATATATTGGAGATTCGAGCACTTGTGTATGAACTTCCAGCATATTATACCGGACCGATATACTTTGTTGGAACTCCAGTATATTATGCTGGAGTTCCAACATAATATACTGGCGTATTTTTTGGATTTTGAACAGTGTTTTCGCTCAAATTTATCTTTACATGAAAAGTGGCTAAATTTTGATTACTTTTAAAACTGGGCTATTTTTGAAGGACCACTTGTAAATCTGGCTATTTTTTAATTTCTCCTATGTTTCTCCATTTCATTCAGGCCCACAATATCAGTTCTGAAGGTTGGCCTGGTGATATCTGAAAAACAAAAGGAAAGAGGATGAGGGAACAGTAAATCCTGATCAGAGCGTCAGCTTTGATGCACTGTGTATTGCAGGTTACTGAGTCTTGAGTCGTTTCATGTCTTTTATATGGTTTGAGAATTGAGTGATTGCTGAGCTGAGGCAAACATCATCACTATCTGTTCCCTTTTAGATATGGGGTGCAGGTTTTATCATACGAACAAAACATGAAGCAGAACGTTGTGTTGGGAGGATGTCTACTGCAAATAGTGATGTTTCGTTGGTTCTCTCTTTCACTATGATTTTCGTGACCACCTCCTTTTTTTTAAACACTGTTTTTGTTCAGGTCAAAAAGAGCCAGTCAAGGCTACTTCTTTCTCACCATACCCCACAAGAAAGTGAAATAACACATCTCATGTCTCCCTTAGATTCCTTTCTTTATTTCAATACATTTACCTTTCTCTCCCCACACCCTCAACCTCAAGCCTTCTCCCCTTTCCCTATTGTTTTGACACTCCTTAAGTCCCAATTCCCACGACAGTATGTGGGGACGCTTGTGTCAGATTCCTATTTGCTCGAACAAATAAGAAAAGAAAAAGGAAATCCATTTAATAAAGAAGAAACCAGAATCTTCCTACCCCTCAGACCTCATTCTCCCCTTTAAAGGTGCAGCCTACTCTTGATTTTTCTTTTCTCAGATGAAGACAATCATGGCTAAGAGTTTCCAAGACTTGTCTTCTAAGAGGCAGTTCCACTGGACAGCTAAAGTCAGCAATGAAGAAGAAGAACAAGAAGTCGCACTAAAAGATCCATCTCCAAAACCCTCCTCGGACATCAACAGAAATGAACAAGGGAAAACAGAGAACATAAAGTCTTCAACTTTGAATGCAATACATGAAAACAAGACAGAGGACAACCAGTTAAAACAAGAATCAGCTTCAGCTTCAGCAACAAGGAGGAAGCTGCAAACTATAGCAGTTGCCAGGCTAAAATCTGTTCTAACTTCACTCGGACGAAACAGAGGAAACTTACAACAAGGTCTTGGAACCAGAGTTGTAGGTACCCTATTTGGTCACAGGCGTGGACATGTACATTTTGCATTTCAAAAAGATTCCACTTCACAACCAGCTTTCTTGGTTGAGCTAGCCACTCCTATAAGTGGATTAGTCCGAGAAATGGCGTCCGGGTTAGTTCGAATAGCATTGGAATGTGACAAAGAGGAAGAGAAGAAAGCAACTAGACTTACAGATGAACCTATATGGAGAACTTACTGCAATGGAAAAAAATGTGGTTTTGCAAACAGAAGGGAATGTGGGCCAAAAGAATTGCAGATTCTAAAAGCTGTGGAGCCAATATCAATGGGAGCTGGTGTTTTGCCAGGGAATGGAGGAGAAGAGAGTGCTGATTCAGGGGAGATTATGTATATGAGGGCTAAGTTTGAGAGAGTTATTGGGTCTAGAGATTCTGAGGCATTTTATATGATGAATCCTGATAGTAATGGAGCTCCTGAACTTAGTGTCTATTTGCTCAGAGTTTAAGGTCTTAACGACTTATTAGAATCTTAGATTAAGTCCTGTTCAACTGAATATAATCTTTTCTTGATCCATGGTTATGGGGGTTTAGCAATGTTCTATGTTTTTTATTTCCTTTTTGTCTTCTTATTTTGACAACAAAATCTGGTTGGTGAATGGAAACTGGATTACTGTATTTTTTTCTTTTTTTGGGTGGAATGGAAATATATGTTGCTCATATTACCTTAGTATAATAGCAGGTTCACTGGCATAATATCCTCATTTGGTTGAATACTGCATGATCAGATGAGACAAATATTTATTCTTTTTGTCCTCTAATTCTCTGCTGATGCCATGGCATTTTGGCTCATTATTTGTTCCGGTATCCACCAAAGTTTGGAAGGGAGCATTGGCGTAACTGGTAAAGTTCCAGAAAATCACGGGTTCGAGCCGTGGAAACAACCTCTTATAGAAATGCAGGTAAGACTATGTACAATAGACCCATGTGGTCCGACACTTCCCCGGACCCCTCGCATAGCGGGAGTTTAAGTGTACCGTGCTTGCTGCCCTTTTTTATCCATCAAAGTTTGCATTTTGTTACAATTTTTTCTTTCCAGATTGGTCTGTGGCATGGCCAACTGTTTGGATTCTGGAAGTTCAAATCACTAAAGAAGTTCTTGAATCTTTTACCACAATCATCTCTTTACTAACTTCTTCTTCATTTTTTTTTTGAATTGTGATGACAAAAAGTTATTCCCAGCAGATAAGAGACTGTAATAGGGGGCTTTGTTTTTCTTTTTCCTTCTTTTGTTGACTGCTTTTTACCTCCAAACTTTAAAGATTTGCTAGGTTCCTTTTCCTGGCAACTAGCTTGATACAATACTACATAAATTTTTGGCATCTGATCCAAAGTGTATAAAAATTGCATGTTCCAATCATTGGTTTTGGTGCATATCTTTGGTCTGGACTAGATCAAAGTAACATGAGAATCCCAAGAAGTTAAACTACTACTAAAGCTCAATTATAGAAGTTCTCAAAAGCAAAAATCAACTCAAAGTTTCCTAAGTTTCCTTCACTCACTGACATGTTACTCAGCTTCGAAACTTTCTTTCCCTTTACACCAGTAGAAGTTTCAAAAAAATTCCAGATTTTTGTATCTTTTATTGGCAGACATCTAATAAATAAGGATTAGATCACAATCTAGACAAAGGAAGAGCATTGAACCGCCCCTCAGTGTTTAGGAGCTCAATAAAGAAGGTTAAAAAAGGCAGCACGATACATTAAACTCTTACTATGCGTGGAATTTGGAAAAGAGCCGAAATTATATTAGGTATATGAAGGCAAAGTATTTTTTTGGTTTATGCGAGAAACTGTTTCCACGACTCGATTCCATGATCTTTTGGTCACATGAAGGCAACCCAATTGTTGCGCCAAGATTCATTTGAAAGAGAATTAATATCATATAACTAAAGGGATAGCTCGATGCACAAAGCATTCCGCATTTATATAGGATATTCTTGACCGGAGGGGACACCAAAGGCCTCTGCCCTTCCATCCCTTGGATAGATAGAGAGGGAGGGCAGAGCTTTTGGTTTTTTCATGTTGTCAAAGAGTTTGAACAAAGATTTTTTCGTGTTGTCAAAGATTTGAACAAAGAAAATAGATGGCGAGTGCCTGATCGAATTGATCAGGTCATGTAGGAACAAGGTTCAAGTCTACCGGTCTGTTAGGATGCCTCAGCTGCATACATACCCCAAGGGGTGTAATGTAGACAGTCTATTTCAATGCAAATATTAGTAACTGTTTCTCGACTCGAACTCGTGACCGATAAGTCATACAGAGATAACACTTTACTGTGGCTCCCCTTCATCATGTAATTAGGGGGTAGGTAATATATGATGCTATAAGAACTTAATTATGTGGAAACAAGATATATTCATTCAAACAAAAGTTTGTTTACAGTATGCAATGATTATTTTCCTAGTTTCAAGGCTTTCTATTCATTTGTATTATTTTTGGTATCTTTTATACAAAGTGAAAAAGAGAAGGTTGATGTTTGAGGGGCCATGATCTTAGTGGATGTGTCATGGAGTACAACAATCAAAGGTACAGAACAAATTAAGATTATTACATTTCACAGCAACCGAGGTTTTCTCTTGATCATGTTGTTATCATTATTCAAAGTTTCAATAGTTATTTGATTCACATAAATCTTTTGGTTGCTGGCGTGCTGCTTTACTTAATCAAATCAATTTTTAAGGAGGATGATCAAAAATTGCTGAGGAATTCTATTTTTTTTGTAGTCTGTCCCATCTAATCATGTATAATAATTTGCAAATTCTGTTGCAATTTGATATATATAAAGGAGGAAAATACTAACAAAAATGAAAATCTCAACGATTTCACAGGTCCTAGCAAGATATGACACAGTTTAAAGTGGGGCATAAACATCATTTTATCCATCTTTCCCCACCAAATAGGTGTTTTAGGTATGTTATGATTATTTTCAGTCTGCTACTAATTCTTCAATTATTAGGAAAAAGTATAGTGCATTTTACTTTTATTCATTTGGGTCATTACTTGTTAAAAAATTGCTTTTTTGGTGCTTATGCACCATCTTGTTTAAACATTTCCTTGTTTTTTGCATATCACACCAAAAATAAGTGTGCCTAGTTACACATCTTCATGCCTTGTCATGTGGGGCCAAAAGGGATTTAGGACCGTTGTTAAAAGATTATTCAAGAAATTTAGGTTAAAAAGGAAAAAAGAGAACGCTGGACCAAGGGTGACTAGAATTCAAATCCACCACAAACAAAAAAATATTTGGTCATTTCTTCTTATTTAACTAAGTTTTACTGTCAGGGTTACCTAATACACGTGCTTATGAGTGTAATAGGTACTTTGGTAAAATAATCGCAGTGTGTCCGATCCAAGCACAACGTTATTAAAAAAAAGGATAAAAGGGGAAACATCATTTATAATGATGTCAATGAGTTAACCAACTTCTAATTAGGCTTACACCTGGTATTAGCTGGATAACTTTCTAAGTTTTAATTCCTCTGAATCTTATTGTTCATTGACAATAACCCTTTTTTTCTTCGGAAAAGGGCTAGATGTGTTCCCGTACTATCGAAAATTAGTTATTAGTATCCTCCGTTATACTATTCTTTATTATCTACCCCCGTCGTTACCCATTTTAATATTTCTGCCCCCACATCTAACGGACTCTTATTTTAAGACACGTGGCACGATCTTAAACAATCTAACCATCTACCCTTTTACCCTAGTCGTTCAGCCCCGACCCAATATCCACCTACCCGAAGAAAACGATTTTAACCCATAGATATGGTTCTTCTCTAGAGCTGTCAATACGGGCGGGGCGAGGCTAGCCCAACCTAACCCATGTGAACTTTAGCAATTGACGGGCTGGGATGGGCTAGCCCACCATTTTGATAGGCCTTATAATGGTTAGCCCACCCCAACCCTACATGGGCTACGGGCCCCACGGGGCCGACCCATCATTTTTTAAAATATAATTTTATATTTTTTCTTTAAGTTCTAACCTAAAAAGAGATAAATATTTAAAATTTAAAGAAATCTAATTGGAAAAATTTCACAAAACTTAATAAATTTTTATACTGTTACAATATATCTCAATAAACACTAAAAAAGTAATAGACAAGACTATATTTCATTCACTAACTCAAAACAAACTATTCAAGAGAACGTCCATGATGCTTATGGGATATCCAACACATCATCTTCATCAAACAAATTTGCTTGTGAGAAGGTTGTCTTAGCATCTTCACTTTCATCTACATCTGCAATTCGTATGCAATATTAATTACTTATATATTAAGAATAATTAAAATTTTAAAACTGATTAACATTTTAAGCCTTTGATCTTTTAATATGATGAGCTTAATAAACTTTAAGCTTGGGATACTCTTCTTGTTATTTTTTTTGTCTATACTTTTTATATTTTATATATTTTAAATACGTATTTTTATTAGGCCCACGGGCCGACCTTGCCCAGCCTCACAAGCCACAGACTTACTCGGATCGGGCTTAAAAGCCTCATTTTTAAATGGGCAGCAAAAATTCTAGCCCAGCCCTGCTAAATTACGGGCTGGGTTGGGCTGGCCCAACGAGACAAGCTCATATTGACGACTCTATTCTTCTCCTTCGTTTATATGGAGGAACTGTTTCAGCCCATTTGAGGTTGCTGGATTCAAAAACAAAAATCAGAAAACTCTTTAACTTTCCTATTTGGGTTTGAGATCTATAGTAGAAATTTCAAGTTTGAGTTTTAAGAGTTTTCGTGTTTTAAATCAGGAACTGAAAACTCAAATCGTGGCTAATTGTTTGGACGATTTGGTATTCGAACACTTGAATAACTTTCAAGTTCTTTGTGATGCTGGTAGTTTGAGTTTGTGCGAAATTTTTTGAGATCCACCATTGATGAACAACCTTTAAACTTAGAAGTGGGTTTGAAGTTTGAACTCGAAAAAGACGAACTGGGTATCTTAATTCCGTTGATGTTTTGCTAGAATTGGTGCTTTCTATTGTAATTAGTATTGTTTATATGCAGCTTCAATTGTTAGTACACTATTGAAACTTTGATTGAAGAAGAAAAAGAATCTCATTGCTAAAAATTCGAGATCTTGGTTCACAAAAATTAAGAAAACAGAAATGCTATTGTTGAACCTTGAAGGTCTTGGGATTGAACTAGATTGGGAGATTATTTGGGACAATTTTGGACTAGATTTGGTCGACATTTGTAAGCTGAAAATGCAACAATTGTTATCTTTGTTTACTCTTGACTAGATTAGCTTAGCATTAATACGTATTAAGTAATATCTAGTCTTTTATGTTGCTTAGACCTGTGAAAAACATTAGTTTTTAAGGAGAAAGAATTTTGTAAAAAGAAAGAACTAATGCAAAGAAAGAAAAGAGATGGATTTAAGGAAAAGTTATAAATTGCACTGATGATGAAGTTAAGGAGCGTGAAAAAGGCAACCTAAATGGGTCTGGAGTTACGAGTTGATACACGATTATTAGAAGGACAGTTAGTTAGGGAATTCAAAAGGTAGTTAAGGCAGTTAGTTGGAAATTCAAAAAGTAATTAGAGTTAGTTAGAATTGTTACAAGAGTTAGTTGGAAGATGTATGCTGGAAGAATCTGTTAGTTGAAGAAATCTATTAGAAGCTCGATCATTTCATACAATGTATAGATATAAGTACATTTG